GAACCTGCCCAGCGCGGACTACAGGAAGCTTGAGGCAGAGTTGCTCTGCCCCGGGCTTCCTGGAATCAGCCGCTGATCAGTTTCAGTAGCAGCTGACTTGGGGACGCTTGGGGTTCTTAAGTTGAATCTGTATATAAGTCAGAACTGGTGTAAGTTTCAGCAGCGGCTGAATCTGGACGCCAGTTCCGACTTACATACAGATTCAACTTAAGAACAAACTTACAGTCCCTATCTTGTACGTAACCCGGGGACTGCCTGTATATGGCCACTTTGAAAACGAGAGACACAGTCTGACCCCTGATTGCAGAGGAATCGGCCTAGACACGATTGACTCTCCACACCCCTCTCTTTCTCCTTCAGCAGCGGCTGAATCTGGACGCCAGTTCCGACTTACATACAGATTCAACTTAAGAACAAACTTACAGTCCCTATCTTGTACGTAACCCGGGGACTGCCTGTATATGGCCACTTTGAAAACGAGAGACACAGTCTGACCCCTGATTGCAGAGGAATCGGCCTAGACACGATTGACTCTCCACACCCCTCTCTTTCTCCATCTCATCCTCTTTCTTACCTTCGGAGCAAATACACTGCAGAGATTTTAATCTGCTCTCACCGCCCCTCCCCCCCCGATGAGAATAAAACACCCCATGTGTATGTAAGAGGAAAGAATGTGAATTCATTGTGGTAGCTTAATTCATCAACTGTGTGTTGGAGGGCAGGAGTCCTCGTCCTTTGTATAATTCTCCACACTCCATATTCTCACATCTGGTCCGTGGGCCATTCCTTGGCAGTGAGGAGCGGGTAGGAAGCTCAGGGGCGGAAGCAAAAGGTCTCAGCTCGGCATTTTCCAGGCTGAGGACTCTATAAATGGAGCATCCACCGAAGGGAGCTGAGCAGAAGCACCATCCCGTTGGGTGAAAGTGACAGGCTAGATCTTGCTGCTCCCACCTGACGCTTTGGGAGCTCTGGTCCGTGGGCCATTCCTTGGCAGTGAGGAGCGGGTAGGAAGCTCAGGGGCGGAAGCAAAAGGTCTCAGCTCGGCATTTTCCAGGCTGAGGACTCTATAAATGGAGCATCCACCGAAGGGAGCTGAGCAGAAGCACCATCCCGTTGGGTGAAAGTGACAGGCTAGATCTTGCTGCTCCCACCTGACGCTTTGGGAGCTTGAGGAGCTGAGGAGATGCTGGAGGTGGGGTGTGTTGAGCAGCGGTGGCAGAGGGGCAGGCGGAAGAAAGGGCTGCTGGGCTAGAGCCAGGTCGGGCACGTGCAGGTCAGTGCAGAAGAAACTGAAGTGGAAGAAGACGACAAAGGGATGGGCCAGGTGCTGGCTTGCTCCCAGGGAGGTTTGTACTCGGGGTTGGGGGACAGATCAAGTGCTGTCTTGTCCACACATAGGATTAGACAGGGCTACTGGATGGGCTCTGGCGCACACACGGAAGCCAGGAGGAGCATGGGAAACCCCTGGCCAACGCGGGAGGCTGAACCCAATTTGCAGGAGAGTCTTAAATTTTTCAGGGGACCCTGGGGTCTGAGAAAACTAGCGATTTGGAGCATAAATCCCTCCCTCCCTGCAGCAGCAGCAGGGCTGTAGGGAGCGAATCGGAGGAGAGATTAAGCATTGTCCTGCAGGCTCGGGTGGACTGCTACAGAGAGAAATGCAGGGTCTGGGTCAGGCAGTGACCAGAGTGGGGCCGTAGGGTGAGCTCGGCATGTGACCGCTCTGCTTTGCTACACTGAAAAGGTACAAATTCAGCCTCGCTGCTCAGTGTTCTTGCCTAGGGCCCTGTCGCATCTCTGGGGAACCCTTGCAAGATGGGGAGTTTTCTCTGGCCACTAGCGGGTTCTTTTAATTCTCCAGGCCAGTCACTGAGCTCTTTCTCTGCCCCTCCGTCTAACCGTGTTTGCTGTGTCATTGATCGGAGTGTGCAAAGGCAGCAGAAGTAGCAGATGCAGCCTGTGTTCATCATGCAACAAGCGGAGCCTGTGGGAGATCTACCCTGACTGTCTCCCATTCTCCCTGCAGAGCTCCTGGGATCGGCCAAGCGACTGAATGTGAATTACCAGGATGCAGACGGGTGAGTGTTTCCCGAACCTTCTCAGTAATACGCTGGCATGAGCAGCTGATGCCTCTGAGCCACTGGCCTCCATGGCTGTCCTTGGCTGCTGGTTTAGGGTTGGTTTAACCGTAACAGGACATGGATGGGCTTGATGTCATGGCTCCTTGAGCAGAGATGCCCACTCTCTATATTCTCTAGCTTGTTAAAGCTTCCTCCTTGCCTTGGACAACCGTCCAGCACCGGAGATGGGCGCAGTATGGTGTCTATTAAGAGCCGGGCACTTGGGGTAAAAACCACTCATGGCGCCTGGCAGAACGGGCACCAGTACCCATCGGTGCCCAACACCGTGCCCAGTCCCTCTCCTCCGGGTATGTGTGTTACAGAACCCCTTGGAAATTACTTTGTAGCCTGACCCTTTATTTATTTTCCACCCACTCTCCAAAGTCTTGTTACAAGACCAGATGAGATTGCTAAATCACAACACCCCTGCCTAGCTCACCATTTACCAAAAGTCATATTTAGAGTTAAGAAAACCACAAGCGCTGCACTGTCACCATTACAAACACCCCATTCTTATCACATGGAAAGATATTTCACCTCCAACTTCATTCAGATGCATTGATTAGTGGCAGTTTTTTACATACATATTTGTTACTTAGTTCAGTTACCTACATGTTGTCAAGGGGCTCCGCTAAGAGGGAAACATCATTCAGGATGTTTACCGACTGACCACTTGGATTTTTTCGGAAAGTCTTTACAATGGCTGTTTCTTGCAATGGATATAGGGGGCTACAATAAATGATAAGATACGGCGGGTTTGTTCAGATGTATGTGAGGCTGAGCAATCCGTCACACTCGTTATGTAGGTACACAGGAATGCTCTCTCTTCCAGAAGGGTTTTGTGTGATGGTTTTGAAATTGCTGATGAAAGAACCATACTTCTTCTTTTGGGTTAGAGATAAGATGGAGCTGGCGTGAGGAGTCGTGCATTTCATCATACTTGATAAGAACAGTGTGTGTGTTCTGCTAGGAGAGCAGCATGAGACATCGCCAGCTATATGCTTCCTTGCTTGGGGTCTGTAATCTTTGGGGGAAGTGTGAGTTTATTTAGCAACCTGAAGCTGGTTTTAGAAACAAAGTTGCATTGACATTGGAATTTCCCGGGTTTTTTATTTTCGTCACCCTCCTTCCCTTCTTTCTTGCTTTTCAATTGGCAAGTGGAGACAAAGGTTTCAAATTTGACATTAGTGAGACGGACAGGTCACTGAAGGACATAAGAACGTCCAGACTTGGTCAGACCAAAGGTCTATCAAGCCCAGGATCCTGTCTTCCAACAGTGGCCCGTGCCAGGTATCCCAGAGGGAATGAACAGAACGGGATCATCAAGTGATCCCTCCCCTGTCACCCATTCCCAGCTTCTGCCAAACAGAGGTGAGGGACACTGTTCCCACCCTTCCTGGCTCATAGCCATTGATTGTCCTAGCTGAACGTATCGATTTATTTTTTGAACCCTGTTAAAGTCCTGGTCTTCTCTACATCCTCTGAGGAGTTGCACAGGTTAGCTGTGCAACAGTGTGTGACTGGATCAATAAGGAGTGAACGGCTGCTGGTCAAAGCAGTAGCAGCCCGGGGGGTTGGTCAGGACACACTGGCAAAGATGTGCCCATTCAGGTTAGCTCTGCACAGCGCTGTCTGGATTCTGCACAGGAAAGTGGCTTGGTGCTGAGCAAATGTACAAGCCAGGATTAGACCCAGTTCTTTGCATCCCCCAGCTAGTGTTCTCCCCCCCAGCCAAGTCATCAATCTCTGTGGGCCTCTCTCAGCGCACTCTGTTCTCTCTGAGCCCCAGGCCCTGCTGCTCCCGGGGGCTGCCGCTGGGCCCGGATCTCCCTGAGAGCCCATTTCCTCAGACACATTGCCAGGGTTCAGGAGAACATGCAGTGACCGGACGGGGTGTTTCAGAATGTCAGGGGATCTAACCCTTCCAGTGCCCAGCCTGAGCCAGCCACTACTGCCTCCCAGCCCAGGTCAGCAGACTCTGGCAGCAGGGCTCCCTCGAGCGCTTTGAAGTTCCAGCTCCGTCGGGAGCTCCGGGTCTGGAGCCGAGGGCCGGGTGGGCTGCCGAGCTGAGCGTCCGCTGGAGGCGCAACTTCAAAGCGCTGTCTGCACGGCTGTGTTCAGCGCGCCAGCACGAGCCAGGCTGGGAGGCTCGCTGCTGTGTGCACGCACCCCTGGGGTGAGGAAGGAGCATCCCCCCGGGCACGTTAGCCCGGAGTTTTCTTGCACCGTCTTCTGAAAAACGGGACTGGCGGGACCCCTGGGCCGAGCTGCTGTAGGAGTAGCCCTGGGATGGGATGCAGGCAAGCTCCTGCAGTGCACAGGGCTGGGATGCTGCCTGCATAGGCTCACGCTGGGGTCGAATCCTCCCCCCCGCCCCGCCCGTGAACTCCCCCTCTCTTTGAATGTCGCAGGGAAAAGCTCCGAGCCAGCCCCAGAGCATTAAGGAAGCGAGCAGCCTGACTGGGCTCTGAGTTCCCATGTCACTCCCTGTGGGCCCTGCGCCGCCCTTGGTCAGACACATGAATGAAGCAGCCCGGGGCAGGGGGAGCGCAGGGGAAGGAGGGAGTGCCCTAGACAAACAGGCCTCTTTCACAGCCCTGGAACACAGGCCTCATTCATTCTGCCTGGCCTCACACACTCTGCCATGGGCTCCTGACGGGGAGAGCCATCCATGCTGGCAGTGAGACTGCAGCGGTCGGGGCCAGCGAGGGAGGAGGGGGCTGGCCAGGAGGGGAAGGCCCCCGCAGCAGCCTGCGAATAGCCTGGAAGCCTGTCACCTGGCCAAACCCCTGAAGTGCTGGGTTTTCTGCCGGCTTATCCTGCTGCTGCCCAGAGAGCAGAGCTGGCCCCAGATCTCTACATAAGGGCTCTTCTAACTCCCCCCCAGCCAGCTTGTTCCTTCCCTGCCTGCCCCCGTCTGGAGAGGCAGCGGCATTGTTTGGTAAGGGGCGCTCCCACCATGAGACAGCTCAGCACCTGCTGCCTGGAGATCTCTTCCTTCACAAGCCCCTTGAAAACAGCTGAGAGCCCTTGGGAATCCGGGAGATGTTTTCTCCCCGTTTGCTGTCAGGAAAACTGAGACGGTGTCAGGGCGACTGGAGGGTGCACTTCATCCGAGGACGCGGCAGAGAGCTGGGAAAGCTGCATTGAGAAGCAGGTGCTCCCTGGGCAAGGGATTGCTAGGAGCTCAGAGCTGGGCTAGGAGAGGGGGGGGGGAGGAGCAGTTGCCACATTGCTTTGGGCTGGGCGAGCTTTCCAGCGCAAAACGTGAGGGAGGCGGGACTTAGTTTGCTTGAAGGGCCAGGTTCGTCCCATCTTCCTGAAGGCATTTGGCAGAGGGTGTTGTGGCCTTTTGGAGAAGTTGTCCCCCCCCTGCGGAGCTGTGCGCCTCAGTCTAACCCGTCCACAGACAGCAGCAGGAGCGGGGGCGGAGTAAGAGAGCAAGACTCACCTGACGTCACCAACCATGGAGCGAGTGTGCCAGGTCTCAGCATGTCTCCCTCAAGTGTCCGGTGCCACCGTACGTTTTAGGGTCTCACGGGACAACCACCAGCAGCTCCAGGAGCCTGTGTTGGGGGAAGAGTCCAGCCAGCTACCTTTCACCAAACTCCTCCCTGGCAGGGCCCTGCGGAACTCACTGGCTTTACTCCGACCAGGGATCTGGTGCATGTAATAAGTGGAAGCTGATTGAGAACTGGGCCAGC